CAAGGCACGGCGGGGGGTACCCACACGCGAAATTGGAACAACAACCGCAATTTACTGGGCAAAGCGGGATTCCACTCCCGGAACAAAAGGAAGGGACAAATTCCAAAACCTACCTTGCCCCCCCCCCATATTCCATTTTCGTGGGGGTAGGGATAATGTGACATTTCCTTCACCTAACTGCCCAGAAAGCCAAGCAGGCACTCGCTACGTTTCGTTTGTTAAGCATCGTCGCAGTGTTCGTGTACTTTCAATCGCCGCTGTGCTCCGGCATCGTCCTGCGATCCCCCTGCCTTAAAAATAAATTTGAGGAGGGGGGTTATGTCAATCAAATAAAATGTTTTTGAGCTTAAAAGCCCCCCGAGCCCTACCCCCGGCGCCCCAAGCACACCGCCCTGCACGCTTCTTCCGCTCGCTGAGCTCGGGCCCGCGCTCCATGCTGGAGATGATGCCACGGTGGCATGCGCTCCAGCCACTTTGCGCCCCGGGCGCTCCGGCCACGCGCGTGTTCCTGCACGCTTATGAGTGCTCCGTGCGCTCCGTGCGCTCCGTCTCAGCTGGTTGTAACGCTAACAGTTCTGCAAGGGGCCGAGCAGATTGTGAGATGTGTGGCTGCGCATAGCAGCGCGCAATCTTGCGTAAAATCGCACAATTAGAACGAGCAATGGAACCACCAGAAATCTGCACGCGCAACTGCAGTCTGCCGAATTCTGCGTTACCCGGCGCCCAGGGTCCTACGCCGGGGCTTGTGAACCTGCACGCTCAACCGCAGGACCCGGCGGGGCAAGGGGCTGGCAAGCCAAACCACTTGAGACATAAGGCTTTACTGCGGTCTCAACAAGCTGCTGCCGGAGATCCTATGCAAGAGAGATGTGCCGCAGGCGCGTGGGCCACAGCTCAGTCAGCTCAGTGCTTCTACCTTGGGTTTTTGCAAGTGGCGGGTGAAAAAGAAGGCTTCAGGTCACTTGGCTGAAACGGGGGTCGGACGCAGCGCTTCCGCAATTGTTCTCCGTATTTTTGCATGACTTCAAAGAACGCCAAGCGCTGGCCGGCGGCAACATGCTTCAACTTGATTTAATGTGTATGCGCCGCGCCCGAAACCTTGCTGAACGCTGCTGGGCGGGATGTTCAAGTTGGGCTCACGCAGCGGACGGCCCTTGGCGCCGTGCCATCTGAGAGCTTGCCGGGTCACAAGGCCGCAGCTGCAGGGTCGTAACTCCAAGTGGCAAATGTGTAATCAAGCTGCCTGCGGGCCTTAAAAGAAGATTTCCGACTTTGCGTTTTCATCCAATTGCAGTTAACTGCAGCTTTCAGAAAGGCGCACTTCCCCGAAACTGCCTCTTTTCATTTAGTCTGCTTACTGGCGGTAAGCAGACTAAACGCTTGGATCAAAGGATTTCAGCCAATATCCAGCCCTCGGATGGTTTAGTCTGCTTACCGCCATCGCCGGTAAGCAGACTAAATGAAAAGAAGCTGTTTCGCGAAACTACCAATTTTTGCCGAGTTGCAGGTCTGCGCATCATGACGCATCTGGTTTGCATTCTTTCTGGCCCCAAGGCTTCGCGTGGCAGAAGTGCAAAGAATAAAAAGAGAAGGAGATTGGGCAAGAAAAGAGAATTAGTGAGAAAGAAGAAGGAAGGCAGTATGTAGGGCGTGCTGCCCCAAGGTGGGAGCCCTCCTCCCTGTTTACCAATTCGCAGAAAACAAGCCAAACTACTTGAGACATTAGGCGTTACTGCGGTCTGAACAAGCTGCTGCCGGAGATCCTATGAAAGAGAAATGTGCCGCAGGCGCGTGGGCCACAGCTCAGTCAGCTCAGTGCTTCTACCTTGAGTTTTTGCAAGTGTCCTGGCCGCTACAGAACGAGAACGCCGAGACGGTCGGCCAGGCCACCAAGCGGGCCACGCGGAAGGTGGTGGGCGACGACAAGAACTTCGTGGTCACGACCGACCTGGGCAGCGAGCTCGCCACGCTGGACCGGGAGCTGCTGGCAGAGGCCGTGCGCCGCACAAAGCGCCCGGAGGACCGCGACGCCACGGCCGTGGTGGACCGGGGCATGCAGACGCTCAAGAAGGACCTGGTGACGCGCGTGGCCCGAAGGCGGGCAGTGGAGCGACCACTTCGAGCGGGCCGTGGGGGCCTACAACGTTCGGCCGCACAAGACAGTTTACGGGGCCCCCGAGGACGTGGAGAAGCAGCCGGCCACCGAGTTCCGGCTGCTGCAGGACAACGCCGACAAATTCCAGCACGGACCGGCGCGTGAAGGCCGTGGTGCGGGGGCGTTGCGAGCGCCCACCAACGCGGCGCGCATCTTCAACCCGCAGTGCGGCGACGTGCAGCGGCAGGCCGTGGACTCCATGACCGTCCGGAGCAGCGAGGGCCGAAAAGGGCCTCAAACCAAGGAGGCCCGCATCAAAGATCCCTCAAGAACAGCGTCTTTTTGCACCAAAAAGGGCTCGATCAGGCACACCCGCCGTACCTCAGTCAATGGTCCTGGGCGTACTTGGCGGCCGCAGGAAGTCGTCCAGCTGCCTCGCTGCTGCAGGCCTGCCGCGCCTTGCCGCGTTGCCGCTGCCCTAGGGCGCCGGCAGGGGCAGCTTCAGCAGGGTCGGGGCAAAAAAGCTGTTCCTTGTCAGATATGACAATGCAGATATAGGAGAAAGTAAGTAGATAGCCCAGATACCGGACACTTAGTTTGAACTTAGTAACTATGCTTTCTTCTAATAAGAAGATATTGGAGATAGAAAAAGATAAAAAAGCTAAAAAAAAGAAAAGAAGCTAAAACAGATAATGGAGATAGAACAAGAGACAAAAACGCAAAAAATAGATTAAACCAATGTAAACAAGATCAAACCAGCATGAAATGATGGAAAATAATTTGCGGGCGTTGTCGAAGAAGAACGTGCGATGCGCACCTAGCACACTCTCAGGTGGAGCGTGAGATGCAATAATCGTGGCAATGCCTGACAGCAAGCAAAGAACGGCGAGCAGAGTATACATACTTTTCCGCGCGCGCACTAGACCAGAAGGAGCACTGAGTCCGCCGTGATCCTCCAAAAGCTGGGGATTACAAACTGCGACTCGCCCAGGTCCACCCAGCGATCGCTGCTATCAGCTTAAAACGCAAAGATGGACGGGCTGCGCTCGTCTTGACCAGCACGAAGAGAAGCTAGAGCCAGAGCGCCCTGCAAGCGCAGAATTGGTCCAGCCAGCTTCTCCTCTTGAATCCACAGCACATCCCCCACGCCGACATCCATTTCGCGGACGCGACAGGATCTACCAGACGTGGACGGACGACTGCCGTAGCCGGACGAAAACATCTCAGACTTCTGCGCCAGGCAGACGGACAAGAGGACAGGGCCAGACTTGTCCAGCTTGCCGGGCTGCAGCTCAATCTTTGACTTGATCAGCCGGTGCTTTCGCTCCATAGTGTAGCAGTCAATGCAAACACCTGTGCGCAAATACTGCTCGGCCAAGTGCAGGCCATAATGATGCTTCGGCTTTGCAGCGTCCGGGTACAGCTCCCGCACCTTGAGAAGGAAGGCGTGGTAGCATTCAGTGTACGACTGTGCTAGTGTGTTGGATAGCCAGGATGGTGCAGCGGATCGCCTCGTGAACTTCATGCGCCGAAGGAAAGCTGCAGCCCAGCAAAAAAAAAGCGAAGCACTGCAGCGCATTTGCGGTTCCAGCTCCACTGTGGCGGCGGGCCGCAATTTCCATGCACCAGAACTGTAGCAGGGGCAGCAGGGCGGCCTGCGTAGACGCATTGGCACGCCAGGCGCCTTCCGAAAAAAAAAGCCTCGGAAAGACAATGCCGGATGTGCGAAGGTGCCAATCGAGCGCGCGTGCCAAAAGTCTGGGATAGCGTGACGATCTCTTCAGCGAACTCAGCGAGCAATAGCCCGGCCACCGTCTTCAAATGCTCCAAGAGTAAGGGCAAGTGCCAGCTCAACAAGCCGTGGGAGTGGAAAACGTGCATTGGATCGAAGAGCCAATGCGAAGGAGGGCACTCCTGCCGCAAATCAGCATCGCAAATATAAGCTTCAGTGTGATACGTCCATCCGAGTGCAGTTTCCAGCTGACGTCGGCAGGCTTTCTGGACCTCAGGAGTTCAATGACTTCAAATATGTGTTCGTCAGAGACTGACACCTTGCAGCTGGATAGGCATGTAAGGTTCGCCGCGTCACCAGCTTGTCGCCCAAACACGTTCGCGCAGAAATGGCAGATCTTGCGGCCAGAAGCACCTTTGGTGCCCAAGCAAGACTTGAGCGCGGCCTCATCCATGACCCAAGCTTCCAACTTGAGCGTGAGGAAAAGCTGCTCCGACTCGCGCCGCAGCAAAGCGCCTAGTTGCCAGCTCTTCTGAGCGAGTTAAGGCCGGCTAATCCACCTGCTATGCGGGGTAAGAGGGCCGTGCGAACAACGCAGATGCAAAACCAGGAGTTCTCAAAGTGACAGCGATCGATCATCAAGTCGCACATGACATAATAGCAAAAAAGTTTTGAGTCGATTGCCAGGAGCCAAAGGATTGCCTGGGGTCACTTCATCTCAGCCATGGTGGCTGCGGGTATGCCATCACGGAAGGCAAACTCCAGCGCCCACCGCGCAAGTGGCTGCCTCGCAATGCCTTTTGAAGCCAGTCAGGATCAAGCTCTTGCGTAGACACCGGCAAGGATCTTGGGAGCGTGTCCTTGAAGGTCGTGGTGACGCCGCTCGCAGCTTTGCAGTGTTTTTTTCAGGTGAGTTTTTTGAAGCGTGTAGAACTTGTACTTCTCGGCCGATGTGAGCTGCATTGGATCCTTCCTGGAGCTCAGCAGCAGCAAGGCCGCAAAGACCCGACAAGTGGGTTCTGACGGGTTCACCAAACCAAGCCGGATCACACAATTTGTGAGGATCTCCATTTTGGCTCCCACAGACTCCTCAGCAGCCTCCAGGACGAGCCACACCTTGTCAGAGATGTATGCCGGCAGGTGCGTGTAATCCTGAAAGCAGTGGCGACCAAGGATCTGCGCTGGAGTTCCTACAGATGAAGCGTCACCGCATCGGCCAACGACTTGCTCCCGGTCCTCCGGCGTCCATGCTCCTTAGTGGTCCGCATACGTTCCCATATATAGCTCTTAAAGATTATAACGCTCAACGTGTTTTTTTCGACCCGCTAAGAAATGTTTTTAAAGGGTTAGCCTAGGTGCCGCATTTCTCCATGAGCCCCAAGATGTCCGCCGCTGCCCCCAGCGATGGGCAGCACATATGTGCTTAAGCTGCGTCTGCTTCGCCTGCGCCTCTAGGAACGCCGCCATGGTCAGCACTTTCTTGGCTTCCACCAAGTACTGCGAGACCGAGCCAACGTGCTGGACAAGTCCGGACATGGCGAATACAAGCAGTGCACAGAGACTAGCGCGCATCGCCGGTGACACGTAATAAACCAAAAAAGCGCCATCTCTGCAAACAATAAATGACAGATGCCAACTTCGTCTGATAATGCAAATAGTAATCCTGGCCAAGAGCGCGTGGTCAAATCATGCCGCGGGGCAGAAAGTTTCTATTTGAGTAAAAGATGCTCAGGCGTCCAAACAATAACGCACGAATAATTCTCAAATGCACTGCTCTTTGCCTAACATAAAAGCATGTGCTGCCCTAGGCTAACTTAACAAAACAAATGAAAAACATGAAAAAAACTGAAAAAAGATAAATGAGATAAATACAAGACTTTTTTAAATAATAAAAAGATAAAAAATATAAGAAAAGATAAAAACATATTGTCTTTTAATATCTTCTATATCTTTTGCTAGTAGATGTGTGCAAGATACAAAAACTTATTATCTTGGACTTTCCTGACTAGCTACTCCTAAGTCTACTATATCTCCGGCGGACCATAGCCAAACTTATCTGAGATAAACGTGACTTAAACACCAGATAAACAGCCTTATAGCTACATACTATCTTCTATTTCCAAGCTATCTGACTGCGAGGCTTCTTAGTGGGCTGCTGCCCCTGCTACCGAATAAGTCCTGAGAGCGAGCGCAGCAAGGTCTTTTCCTATGGTATGAGTTCTATGGTAGACACAGGGGGTGGCCGTTTTGAGCACTTTTTCGGCCCAAAAGGGAGCGGTGACATAGCGGTGACATCACTGGTGACGAGTTCAGCCGGTTCAAAATTTGCTGTTTTGGCGGCTTTTTCGGCCAAAAAACGAAAATTAATTAGGTAGTTTTGGGCCAATATGTATTTGTGATACAAACTGATCGCCAAAAGGTCAACGGTCTGCGAAACACAGAACACCCCCCCCTCCGCGGTCTTTGTCTGGCAGGCGTTTTTGTTAGGCGCCGCTGGCCGTACCGGAGTTCCGAGGCACAAGCAAGAATGCGCAGCGGCAGGTCTTGGAGGACAGGGCCTCGTTATGTCTCGTCCCAGATTTTGCGTTCTTGGTTGCGCTTGATACGTTGAGCAGTTGAGATGCGCGGAAAAAGCGCGAACTGGCTTTGACAAATCCACGAAGGAAGTGAAACAACAGAGAGTATCACTACCGCTGTTCACGGGCAGTGTATTGTTTTGGGAGACCGGGCTGGCAAAAAAAAAGGGAGGCCTTTTGGGAAGGAACCTGGATATATCTCCGTTTTTGGGATCGTCGCCGGATGCAAGTGGCTCGCTCGAGAATTGGGAGCAAGGTGAATCAACCACCACCACCACCAATAGATTGGTTGATTGCTTGCCATGTTTGTTCGTTCACTCGTTCACCTGTTTGCTGGCAGTTTGTTGGTCCGGCAGCTAGGCCCAGATGCTGTAGTTTTGGCACCTGAACCCTATGACGGGTGCATTCAAATTACTAAAGCACAGCTCGCGCCGGCCATTGAATATTGATTGCAATCTGTAAGGACGCGCAGCCTATTCATTTTGATGTAGGCTGCGAACAATCTATTTGTTTAATTTGGGGCAGGAGATCTACCTGGTCAATCTCTTCCCCAAGAATTTCGAAGCCGCTGCAACGGTAGCGAATCTTGTCCTGCCCGCTGTCCACACGATCCGGATCCGACGCAGCGCTAATGCTGCTGCACCTTGGATGAGCGAGCGCGCCAAGCTGTTTTATCTCAGTTGGTAATCGTGAACTTGCTGGGAGGACATTGTGGGTGTACTCGTAGACGGTTCATGGAGAAGATGCCGTGAGGGGATGTTCTGCCAGGGGACCTTGGCCGTTTCGCTTTGCTAAATCTTGCACCCCCAAATGCGCTTCCAAACAGGGCGACGTGCAGGTTGACAAGTCTGGGAAGCTGTTCAAAGTAGCCAGATTGATGAAACTAAGGGGCGGAAATCGTCCAACACTTTTTTGGATGAGCTGGACATCGCCACCGCCCTGTTTTTGGCGTGAGAATCATGTATTTGTTGTTTGTCAGGTTCGTTACGGTTCGTTCAACAAAAATCAAAGAAAGGACTACCCTAAAGGGTAGGCCCCCCCTTGAGCCACCTTAAAGGGTAGACTTGAGGAACGTTGCAAGCAGCAAGACTGAGCAATGCTAAAGTTGCATTGCCGAGGCTGGGCTGCGCGCACTACTGCAAGGGGCGATATACCCGAAGCTTGAGAAGATCTGTTTGGGGGAGCAGCGCATGAGTCCGGAGCCAAGATCCAAGAGAGGCTAAAAGACTCTAAGGCTGTTATGAATGTTCATGATTGCTGGTTTCTGATATTTGCAACCGCGGGCGGGCCCCATGAGCATCGCGATGTGCCATAGGAAAGCAGTTCAGGGCAGCTTTCCCCTTGGCATGTGCCGGCTTCAACGTGTGAGTACATGGCTCAAGACGCATTGGGTAATAGGTCTGTTGCAACTCAAGACACATCCGGGTTAGTTGGCTGATGCTGTGTCTACAGACTGTATGGCTGCGCGAACAGTCAATGTGAGTTTACCGTTAGCATGTGCGATCTGCCAAGAGGGAATCCGAGGGGATCTCCTATGTGTGCCAGGGGTTTGCAGCAAGCGTAGCGGGGGAAATCACAGGGTCCAAAACGAGAAGGGGAAACCCTAAGTGTTCGAATTTTGTTTTGTTGCACCGGCTTGCGCAAGAAGACGTCAGTCCTTGTCACAGGGCCATTGCAGTAAAACACTTTCAGAACGGATCTACAAAGCCCCTAAAAAATGACGCTTCTTTGTTCGTGCTTGTGGGACGAATTATCTTAGGGAACAGTATTGACAACCTTGAAAAAAGTTTCTTTCAAGGCATCTTGGGCGCCTCAAGAGTTTCGCGCTTGCGGGATTCCACGTCGACTTGTGGAAGTGCACGGCCGCATTTCACGGAATCCCGGTTTCGCAGCCTATGTCACGGCCCAAAAGAATCCTGACAGAACTCCACGGAGTCTGTCAGCCGGTGGCCAATTCAGATCCTGGACACGCGCGAACGATTTTAGGGGCTCGCGCGCCGGCGTTCCGCGTTCCCCAACGATGTTCTTGGCGAGATTACCTGCAGTCAATGGAGCCACGCCCCTCCACTAAAACCCGGAAAAGAAGCCAAACAGAGAGAAAGCCGGGATGCTCCTGGAAATCAGTTTCCACTTCTTCAGGATGCCCACAAGCACACCCTTAGTCATCAGTGCCTTGCAGCGATCTTCCTCGGCGCGCTTCACAAATTGCTGGCGGCAAGTTCACGTGGCTCTTGTGCCTCAAGCTCTCAGGTTTCAGGCGCCATCTCTGGGATTGTGGTTGGCCGATTTGGGGCGTGAACTTGTGAAATTTCAGGACTGGCAACCCCCGATTCAGTTTTTCGTCTTGTCGTTTTTTCCCGAATTCGTAGCGAAGGGTTCCCGTTATTAGTGGGGTCTGGGGGTAACATTGTGTTCGCTGGTCGGCTCGCGTGCGTCCGCAAGCGATCCGAAAGCTTCCGCAAGCGTCCGCATGTGGAAAAAGTTGCCGTGCCATTGGGATTGTCGCAACGAGTGGCTTTTCGATGAGTCCTGAAGTTGCAATTCGTTGTGCCAGTGCGTGAATCGTGTTTGTTGCAGCGTTGCGTGTTATTTCGCTGCATAGGCGCAGTGTTTTGGAAGGCTGCGCGTTCTTTGCGTTCCAGGGATGGTCGTTTTGAGGTGTCCTGCTTGGCAAGCGCGTGATAGTGTTTCGCCAGCGCCCTTTTCGTTGGCCCTGTCGTGCAATCGTCTCGTTTTGGCAAGCTTGAAACGTGTCAAAATTGGTCGAAATCATTCTGGCGCCACAGTCCTGTGCTAGTTTTGGACGCGTGTCGCAAACGTGTCAAAGTCGGATTTCGTGGCAGGTGCAGAAGCTTGGATGATTTTGAGTTTGTGGCAAGCTTACTTTGCGCGACAGGCGCGGCACTTGCGAGCGTTTTGATGGAATTTTGTGGCAGGCACAGCACTTTGGAGCTTTTCATGCAAATTTTGTTGCAGGCGCAGTACTTTTGTGCCTGGGTGTAGATTTCCTGGCAGGCACGTCACTTTGACTCAGCCAAATCACTCTCGCTGTGGCGCGGTGTGCGTTCTGAGAACGCGAAGTGAAGCTTCTGCGCACTTTGGGTGGGTCGAATCGCTCTCGCTGTGGTGCGGTGCGCCTTTTGAGCCTGCGAAGTGAACCCTCTGCGCTGTGGCGCGGTTCGCATTCTGAGCTCGCACAGTGAACCCTCTGCGCACTTTGGGTGGGTCGAACCGCTCTCGCTGTGGCCGCGGTGCGCATTTGGAGACAGACGTGTCGTTAAATCACGAGTGTCCTTTAGAAGTGTCGATTAGAAGTGTCGTTCAGAAGTGTCGATCAGAAGTGTCGTTCAGAAGTGTCGATTTGAGGTGTCGTTCAGAAGTGTCGATCAGAAGTGTCGTTCAGAAGGGTCGTTTGGCAGTGTCGTTCAGAATCGTCGTTCAGAATTGTCGATCAGAAGTGTCGAGCAGAAAGTGTGCATCAGAAGTGTTGCTCAGATGTGTCGATCAGAAGTGTCGATTATAGAAGTATGGACAGTATGGAGAGAGAGAGAGAGAGAGGGAGACAGGCGATCAGAAGTGTCAATCTGAAGTGTCAACCTGAAGTGTTGTTCAGAAGTGTCGATCAGAAGTGTCGATCGCAAGTTTCGATCAGAAGTGTCGTTCAGTAGCGTTCATTAAGACAAGAGACGTGGCAAGAGACGTGACAAGCTGCATTTCTCAGAAGTGTCGATCAGAATCGTTCAGAAGTGTCGATCAGCAGTGTTGCTCAGAAGTGTTGCTCAGAAGTGTCGCGTCGCTCAGAAGTGTTAATCTGTGTTGATCAACAGTATTGCTCAGAAGTGTCGGTCAGAAGTGTTGCAAGAAGTGTCGCTCGGAAATGTCGATCAGCAGTGTTTCTCATCAGGCAGAAGTGCCGAGCAGACGTGTTGATCCGAAATGTTACTAAGAAGCGTCGCTTCGCTTGGAAGTGCTGCTCAGAAGAGTCGCGATCAGATGTGTCGAGCACATGTGTCGATCAAAAGTGTCGACCAGCAGTGTCGATCAGAAGTCAGAAGCGTCGCACAGAAGTGTCGAGCAGAGGTGTTGCTCAGAGTTGTCGCCCAGAAGTGTCGATGAGAAGCGTTGCTCAGAAGTGTTGTTCAGAAGTGTCGGTCAGCAGTGAGTGTTGCGCAGAACTGTGGCTCAGAGTGTCGATCAGCAGTGTCGATTAGGAGTGTTGCTCAGAATTGTTGCACAGAAGTTTGCTCAGAAGTGTTGCGTCGCTGAGAAGTGTTGCTCAGAAGTGGCACCCAGAATTATGTGCGTGGCTCAGAAGTGTCGCTCAGAAGTTTGGCAAAGAAGTGTCGATCAGAAGCGTTGATCAGATCAGAGGTGTTGATCAGAAGCGCCGATCAGCAGTGCAGAAGTGTTGCTCAGAAGTGTCGGTCAGCAGTGAGTGTTGTTCAGAAGTGTCGCTCAGGAGTGTTGCTCAGAAGTGTTGCTCAGAGGTGTCGCGGCGCTGGGAAGTGTTGTCGCTCGGAATTGTCGCTCAGAAGTGTCGCTTATGAAGTGTCGCTCAGAAGGGTCGGTCAGAGGTGTTGCTCAGAAGCGTTGGTCAGAAGGACCGAAGTGTTGCTCAGAAGTGTCGATCAAAAGTGTCGATCAGATGTGTTGCTCAGAAGTGTCGCGCAGAAGTGTTGCTCAGAAGTGTCGCTCACAGGTCTGCTCAGCAGTGTCGCTCAGCAGCGTCACTCAGAAGTGTCGCTCAGAGGTGTCGCTCAGATATGTCTGTGTAGAAGTGCGCTCGAATCGTCGCTTAGGGAGTGTCGCCCAGGAGTGTTGCTGATGCGTGTGTAGACGTGCATGTTGCGCAGAAGTGTCGCTCAGAGGTGTTGTCCGCAGTGTCGCTCAGGAGTATCGCTCAGAAGTGTTGCTCGGAAGTGTTGCTCAGACGTGTCGCTCACAAATGTTGCCCAGGAGTGTCGCTCAAAAGTGTCGCTCAGATATGTGTGTAGAAATGTTGCCCGAACTGTCGCTCAGGAGTGTCGCTCAGAAGCGTCGCTAACGTGTATGTGTGTGTAAAGTGTAAAAGTGTCACTTGAAGTGTTGCTCAGAAGTTTCGCTTATGTGTGTGTAGAGGTGTCGCTCAGTTTGCCATAGTTTTTCGCTCAGAATTATGGCTTCAGGATTGGCGCTTGACGCTTAGATGTGTCAATCAGAAAGAATTCGAAATCGCTTGTAAGTGTGTTCAGAAGTGTCGCCCTTGCTCAAGCTCTGGCTCAGAAGCGTCTCTCAAAAGTGTCAGTGACAAAAGTCGCTTACGAGTGTTGCGTTGCAGAATATTTAGAGGTGTCGGTTGAACGGTCGGTCAGAAGCTCAAAAGCGTTGCTCAAAATATGGCTCCAGCTGGACAACATTGCTTGAGTTGACGAAATGCACATTCCGCGTGAAAAAGACTAATTTAAGCTACGGTGTTTTGGCGTATGCCTTGAAATTCGCATTTTCGCTTGTTCAAAAAAACAACATTTCGCGGCCAGCTGTGGGGGTTTCGCGGCCGATTCACGGATATTCGCGGAATTTCGCAGCCATTTCTGCTCGTGCCCATGGTTTCACGGCCATTTCGCGGCCATTTGCTAAAAACGGCGCACGACTCCTTAAAAGACATTGGTACGCATGCCCAAGTTAACCTTTAAAGACATGCGTTCGACCCGAGGTCGCGCAAATGCTTCAACGCGATTGAGACCTGTCCACGCACCCGCAAGGGATTTGGAGTTGAAACTTTGTGAATTAAACTCGTCCAGTGTGCGCACGCTTGAAAACCTCAAATGGCCGTGAAACCTATTTCGATGAATGATTGCCCAGTCGTGAGCAAATGAATAACGGGGAATTGCGTAGCAATCCCTTATATTGAGCTGCGCCTTTTCGCAGGGCGAGAGTGGAAGGCTTTCAGAAAAAGCGCCGACGGCCTGAGCGCTATCCTGCGAGTTGTTGGCTTTTGGCTTTAGCGTCAATAATCAAAGAACCTACGCCTTTGCGAGTCCCTTGATGATAGTGGGAAAAGAGGAAACGCATTGAGGTCAATGGCTGGGAAACATAGAAAAAGCATCGAAAGGGTCTATGGTGCCGAAGTGCCCCCCAAAGGTTGCGCCACTTGCGGGCCCTTACAAGCTAAAGGCAAATGAGGCGGGCGAGTTGCTTTAGAAATCTTTGGTGTC